GCCCCCACAATCTCTGAAGGCAGAAGTCCACTCCTTAATGGTCCTGGCCCCTCATCTGAGTCCTCGCTCTCCTCAGCCATCCGCACCTGCTGCCAGCTAACCACAACACACCATCATAACTGATGTCAACTAAAAAATACTCCTTTGGTCTTTTAAGTTGCCAGCAGAAAAGGAGTGGGGGGGGGGGCAAAAGTAGTGCATTCCTTAAATGCTTCAGATAATTGCGAGGCAGCCGAAGCTGTTGGCACGCAAGATTATTACTGGAGAGCATGATTGATGATTCTTGGCTATTCTTGATTGTACCCTATGACTATCATTAAGTGTTGTACGTTATGATTCTTGATTCTTAACGAATGTACCTTTTCTTTTATGTATACTGAGAGTATTTACACCAAGACAAATTCCTTGTGTGTCCAATCACACTTGGCCAATAAAATATTCTATGGATGTGTCTCATTGGAGAATATGCATCCAGGGGATAGGGTGGGGAAGACCAGGGTCAAGGGGGAAATGTACGATGTGTCTCAGAGTCGGTTGCAACCAGGAAACACGGATACATTAACTCCTAATAAATCAATCTTTTTTATTCTGAGAGACTTATGATTTGAATGGGAATGGGATGACCCGGAGTGTAACACAAACGTAGCAAAATCCAAAATGTACATAAATGTCCTTTAATGCCCCCAACTTGGCCTCACTGTTCAATAATACTCAGTTAAAGATAAAACGTACTCAAAAATAGTCTTCAAAAGAAAGCAGTACAGTCCAAACTTAGTGATCAGATAGAGGTGAAATAGAAAACCAAACAAACTACAATGATGAAATTTCCACAACAGAAGTATTTACCAAATTCAAGGAGATAACAAGGCAGAGTCTGTTGGAAGGACGCCAACCAAGATAACTTCAGCCCAAAACAAAACACACTTTGATTCTGGCAACGCTGTGTTGTAACCGTCTCTCTTATATACTATTCTTCCCAGCTGCAACCAATGAGGGGATCATGGCCGCTTCCTCTCTCGTAAGCCAAGTTGTTGCTTTCTCCGTTCCTCCCTGCGTGCCCTAGGATGAAGAGGGGATGGGCCTGGTTCTTCCTCTGACTGCCCAGCCGGCCTTTGCCCTTCCCCAGCCTCCTCCACGACCTCCGGAGCCACACCTCCACTCCCTGTCGACTGTTCCTCCTCTCCCTCGGAGTCCAACTCTAACAAAGGCATGGCAGGGCGTGCATGTCAGTGTCTTGACAACTGACTTTTTTCCGTGCGATTCTAACTTCAAACAGTCTCTAAGCAAATGGTTGTAAGTCAAGCACTACCTGTATGGGCTAATGGCAGAACACCTCACTTCTGCTTTTGAGGACGGGATTAAATGCACAAAACCCAGAAAGAAATAGCAGGAAAGTCAGGGAATCTGTTCTGATCCTGGGATCTGTTCCCAAGATCATGAAGCCAACTCCTCGTCCAGATAAAACCCCTTTTATTTAGGTTAAAGGGAAATCCTCTCCAGCAAAGTCCCGGCAAACAGCCTTTCAAGAGATTGCACAATGACAGGCCTTTATCAGGCTTGGAGAGCTGCCAGGCCGATAGCTTTCAAACGCCACGCTGTAGCAGCAGTGACTTGGAAAGAAGTCAGGAACAGATCTTCACACTAATTAAACGAACTAATTGTCTCCTACAAACCCCATTCCCCTTTTGCTCCTCTTTTAATCCCTATGGGAGGGGCCATTCACTGTCCACCTGTACCCTTACTCCCTTGTTCCTTAGCTGTGCCCTTCTTCTGGCAGCTCTGCGCATGCGAACACTGGGAACAGGCTCCAGCTGTTCTTCTTCCCCACTGATCTCCGATTCCAAAGGCAGCTGATAACTGTCAGATGGCCCTGGCCCCATCTCTGCCTTGTGTTCCTTAGCTGTTCCCTTCTTCTGGCAGCTCTGCGCATGCAAACACTGGGAACAGGCTCCAGCTGTTCTTCTTCCCCACTGATCTCCGATTCCGATGGCAGCTGATAACCGTCAGATGGCCCTGGTCCCCATCTCTGCTTCCGACACAGAGCCCTCGTCAGAGCCTCCCCCAGACTCCAGGACCGGCCCATGCTCCTCCCCCAACCTCCTCACTCACTTCGAGTCCAACAGGCATCGAGACAAGATTAACCAAAATAATTCCATTTAATATCAAGACATTTAATATCAAGATAATCAAGACAATCCCCAAATGTCTCGGCACCGACAAGGAAGACCCACAATTACAAAATAGTACATTCCCCAGCTGCAGGCACACCCCTGCCATATCACGCTAGCTCGCTTGCACTTGTGTAAACACAATGCACAAAGAGTGGTTAAAGGCAACTTGCTTTACAATCGGGACGCAACTAGTGAGAAACACGATCGGGTAATGTTTTGTAGCACTGGACGTGTTAAGATGCGTAGCAAAAAAATTTTTTTTCTTTAAAAAGCACTCCATTTGCTAATCTTTTAGTGGAATATTAGCTAAAATCACCTTTTAAAAAAGTTGCTTTGAAGAGAAGTGGTTAAGATATATATACAATACATATTTGTGAGCCGCTGCAGTAAAAGAGGTAGTTTTTAAAACTTTTACTGCAGGGTGACGGAGGATGCAAGTAATTTTTCCGCTCTTGGGTGTGGTCTACTATTTTGGAGGAAAATCAATTGCAGGATTTTCTATCAAGATGTCCACAATTAGGTGGGTTTTTTCCCACACCCCTGCAACCTTGGGGGTGTGAATGCTTGTAGGCATTCTTGAATGCATTGCTCAATTTTGGCAAGTGTTAAGATAGGTGGACTTCAACTCCCAGCATTCCCCAGCCAGCATGTCTGGCTGGCTGGGGAATTCTAGGAGTTGAAGTCCACCTATCTTAAACTTGAGAAATACTTTTATACCTATTGAAAAAAGTACATTATTCTCACAATGTCGTTTCTTCCATTGCCCAGTTACACAGAGGGGAAAAATTCCTATTTTCTTTTTTCCAGAATGAACTCTTGATAGAAGGACAGCATAAAGTTTGATATTTTTAAGAATCCTGCAAAAAAAACACCACCCCAATCCTGTTAAAAAAAACAGACCTTTAAAAAAAAAAAGTTTTAAAATAATGTTTAGGAGTGTTCTCAAAGCGAAACCGGATGCAAAACCCGGCTCTGGAAATAACATAATATTTTCACCTCCAACCACGCACACGGAGTCAGACAAACACATTACAACTTTTCTGTGCTAGTTGTCGAAAGCACATACTTTTGTGAAAAGGAGAACACAAACGGCACAGGATCCAGATTTTAATATATCTTTCTCGATTAGTGTTATTTAATGCATCGGTTGTAGAGAAGGAACAATCCTTAATATATTTAGGGACTCCGTATTCGATTCAAAAGTATGATTTGGGGTTTGGGCTCCAGATTGATCAATGGAAAGTAGCAAACCAGATTTTGTTTTTTCAGGCTGATTTCCTCCAAATTTTTTTCCAAAAAAGCAGTTCCGTTCATCGAGTAAGAATTAAACATCCCTTCCGTTTAAAACTCCTGCTTAGAAACAGCATTTAAAATATGTCTTTTTTCCCCCCTGGACTCTTCCGTTGTTGTAAAACTAATAATAATAAAACACCCCTCTTCTCTTTGTGTGGCCGTGAAATTCAAGGCAGTTACAATCTCAGAGCTAAATTCCCATCCTAGGGAAGGAATTTATCCTCTCGGAGTTAAAAAAAGTTCGTGGCTGGGAATTCAGCTAGTCTCCAAAAATCCAGAGAACATTCACGCCGGATAATCCAAGGTTGACTCGCCTGTGAAGAAAAGGACATGATTAGATCACAAAAATTCCATTGGAATTTCACATTTTATTTTATTTTTTTGCTCTAGCTAGAAATGAACTGTGCTGAATAATGGAAAAATGAAGGATTATGTGTTGACATAGTCATATATGACAACATTAGATCGAAGTAGCAACTTTCTTGGCCGTATTAATTATTAGAATAGATACAAGAATTTAGAAATGGGGGAACATTGTTATACATACTTTTATACAATACCAGCTCGATATTCCTGTGTTTCGCTACGAAACTATGTGGTGGGGCTTAGTTTTTGGGGAGGAAAATAAGGGGAAAAAATTCTACCTCTGCCTACCAGCATCCATCGGTGTTCATCTGGCTAGCGTCCTGTCAGTGTGTGAGAGAGTTGAGGGCTGTTTGGAAACTGAAACAGTATTTGCTGTGTGAGCAAGGAGACAGCAAGGAGCCTGGGCGTGGCTTAGCTCAACTGTTCTGTGCTAAAGCTGCTTGGTGCTGTGAAAGTGAAACTGAAACTCCTCTGCTTGTGTTTTGCATTTGGAGGAGATTTCTTTTCAGGTGGGGAGGGGGAGTAGGACTCCGTAGCATCAGAGCGTGTTAATAATGATAATAATAATAATAATAATAATAATAATAATAATAATAATAATAATAATAATAATAATAATAATAATAAATAATGAAATACTAATGCTCTGATGATCATTTTGAAAAATTCTTTCTTAGTGAACACCTAGAAGCCAAGAGGAAGATATGGGCCAAATTTCAAGTTTGTAGGCTTTACGGTCCTGGAGATGTTGTGATGATGAATGAAGGGTATTTCACTTTTAAATATATAGATTAGAATAGATTAAAAATTTTAGAAATGGGGGGAACATTGTTATACATACTTTTATTCAATATATATAAAGTGAACATTAAAGGTTAAGATCTGAATTTGAAAGAGGATGTTACTAGGTAGGCTCAAAAGTAAAAGTTATTACTATCAGAAGAATGGGGCAAATATTAATAATTGAAAAAACGGAGGAGTAAGTGCTGATACAATTATGTGTAACAACTTTAAGACTACACAAGCTGGACTAATTGAGTAATGTTTTTATGTATTATTCTTGCTTTTGTGTCAAAATGATGACACTCGGATACCACACCATTCACAAAATGATACTGATGTATGTTTTTAAGAATAAAAAAACATATATATATATATACACAGACGAACACAATATAGAAGCCTGATGATGGCAGATGAGATTCTGCTGAAACGTTGCTACAACTTTAAAAGCACCACTATTATGACGTGGGAAAATACCCGAACAAAGCTGAATACCATACATGGAAGTACCCGCGAAAACTTAAGAAAACATATATGCTGCTCTATTTTTAAATCTTGTTATGCACCCAAAATCACATTTTGGGTTTTCTTTTCTTTCTTTCTTTCTTTCTTTTTTTTTTTTGGGGGGGGGGGGGAGAGAACATTTGCACCAAGACTTGGTGTGTTCAATCCTTGAACACAACAAGACCTTGTGTGTTCAATCACACATGGCAAATAAAGAATTCTGTTCTATTCTGTTTCCATTCCCTATTCTATTCTTATTCCATTCTACTCTACTCTTATTCCATTCCCTATTCTATTCTATTCTATTCTATTCTATTCTATTCTATTCTATTCTATTCTATTCTATTCTTATCCTATCTTATCCTATCCTATCCTATCCTATCCTCTATTCTATTCTATTCTATTCTATTCTATTCTATTCTATTCTATTCTATTCTATTCTATTCTATTCTATTCTATTCTATTCTATTCTATTCTATTCTACTCTATTCTACTCTATTCTACTCTACTCTTATTCTATTCTATTCTATTCTATTCTATTCTATTCTATTCTATTCTATTCTATTCTATTCTATTCTATTCTCTACCCTATTCTAATTCTATTCTAACTACTGGGGAAGAACAGGTTTGAAAAAGCCACCTGTTTAGTTGTAGATTAAGTTGGGAAGTCGGAATTGGGCCGTGGGAATGGCTGTCCGGAACCCCTGTATGGGCAGCACAACTTGTGAGCACATCGGGCCGGTGGGCATTTGTGTGTGTGTGTGTGTCAGCCCTCCACTCACACAAATCTAACTGCATTGCGTGCACACTGGCCCACTGTTGTAGATTGGTGTGTGTGTGTCTGTGTGTGTGTGTGTGTGTGTGTGTGTAACTGGATTTCTTCGAGAGCTGGATCAGCTCTGAAGTTCTCCGTGGGCCGGCTGGGGGTGGATGGATGGGAGACGGGTCAGGCGCCTTCTGCAGCAACAATTTAAGAACGGCAATTTGTTTAACAACTGTGGCGAGGAAAGTCGTAAAACGGGGCAAACCCCATTCAACAGATTTCTCTCTCTCGGCACCATGGATGTTGGCCTTCATCGTGGTCGTAAGTCGAGGACCACCAGTATTAGCTGTAGGGACAGGAATAGATATAAAAGAGAATCCTACGTACCCGAGCATCCCCGATTCCTTGGTCTTGATGATGTACAGGAACATAAGCAAGGTGTGGAACAGGTTGTTTCTGCCCTAAACAGGAGGGATGAGAAGGCAAACAGGTGAGAGCCTGACCAGTTTACGCTTGCAACAAGGTGTGTCTTTCCCCCCCCTCTTCCCTTGGGCCTAGTTTTGTTTTTACCCAAAACTATTTAGCTTTGCTAAAGAATGTCAAAAAGGGTGTCAGGGTTGAAGTCTACGCATCTTAAAATGGCCAAGGTTGAGAAACATTGCTATGGGTATGAAAGGAGGAGGAGGAGGAGGAGGAGGAGGAGGAGGAGGAGGAGGAGGAGGAGGAGGAGGAGGAGGGGGGAGAAGGGGAAGGAGGAGAAGGAGGAGGAGGAGGAGGAGGAGGGACTGTGGGGTCCTGAGTGCTCTCTGAGTTTGGGGGTTTTCTTACAGACGTTTCATGACCCAACTGGGTAACGTCATCAGGGCTAGAAGGGAGGAGGATAACAACTGTGGGGCCCTTGATGCTCCCTGAACTTGGTTGTTTTCTTGCAGACATTTTATTACCCAACTAGGTAACAGCATCAGGGCTAGAAAGGGAGGCGGACTGTGAGGCCTTTGGTGCACTCTGAGCTTGGTAATTTTCTTGCAGACGTTTTATGAGCCAACTAGGTAACATCATCAGTGCCAGGAGGGAGTGGGGTTTGCAGACAGGAGGAGGAGGAGGAGGAGGAGGAGGAGGAGGAGGAGGAGGAGGAGAACGACAACTGTGGGGTCTTTGATGCTCTCTGATCTGGGTGGTTTCTTTGCATACCTTTCATGACCCAACTAGCTAACATCATCAGTGCTACAAGGGAATGGGGGGAATGAGGTTTGCAGAGAGGAGGAGGAGGAGGAGGAGGAGGAAGAGGATGACAACAACAATAATTGTATGTCCTATGCTTTCTGAGCTTGCTGTTTTTCTTGCAGACGTTTTGTGACCCAACTAGGGAACTTTATCAGTGTTAGGAGGGAGTGGCATTTGTGGAGTGAAGGAGAAAAAGGGAAGGAGGGAGGAGAAAGAGAGGGGGAGGAGAAGGAGGACGAGTGTGGGGTCCTTCGTGCTCTCTGAGCTTGGCTGTTTTTCTTGCAGGCGTCTCGTGACCCAACTAGCTGTAATATCAGCAGCTAGAAGTTTCCCTCCTCCCTTCTAAGCACTGATGATATAACCTAGTTGGGTCACGAAACGTCTGCAAGAAAAACAGCCAAGCTCAGAGAGCACGAAGGACCCCAGAGACATATCAATCCACCCCCCACCCCCCTGTTCTGGAAAAGTCAGAGAGAAGTTGCGATACTCCCACCTTAGGAAGATTGTAGACCTGTTGTTGATAAACCAGCTCATAATGGGGAGGATTGACGCTACTCTGGTAGACGCAGAACAGGTTCTCGTTCGACATATCTGCGAGTGAGAAGAATCGGATCTGGCCTCAGTTGAAAGCCCGATGAAACAAGATTAAATGAAGTTCTATTGCAACATGGAACGAGATGCCATCTGGATCAGGGGGTCTCCAACCTTGGTGACTTTAAAGACTTGTGGACTTCAGCTCCCAGAATTCCTCAGCCAGCAAGTCTTCAAAGTTGCCAAGGTTGGAGACCCCTGATCTAAATTACTAACTGGTGGAGCCCAGCTGGTTATACCTAAATGCTTGCTTCCAGCAAGGAGTTGTGTGCAAACCACCCCACTTATAGCCTGTTCTCCCAGCTGCAACTAAGGAAAGGGATCGGGGCCTTTTCCTCTCCCGTAAGCCATGTTGCTCCCTTCTCCGTTCCTCCCTGCATGCCCTAGGATGAAGAGGGGGTGGGCCTGGGTCTTCCTGTGAAGGCCCAGCCGGACTCTGCCCTTCCCCAGTTTCCTCCACAGCCACCGGAGCCTCACTCCCACTCCCTGTGGCCTTACTAAGGCTTTGTAAAGTGGTACTAACCCTTCACACAATCTAATGATGTTCGTGATGGCCCTATCTGTGCATTCAACGATTGTGGAATCCAGGCCTTCTAGTTACAACCGTTCATTTAATGACTGTTTGAAGTTGCAAACGGCCCTGAAATAGGCTGTTAATTCACACTTACGACCATTGCCGCATCCCCGTGGCTGGGTGATCAAAATTCGGAGGCCTGGCAACTGATCCATATTTGTGACGGTTGCACATTCCCATGTAAGTAATATCCAATATTTTTTATTTCACGAGCTTCTCTTACTGCTTTATAAATACATCTAGTCCATTTTAATTTGTTTTAGTTTCTAACCACTGATAAAACAATGTAATATTCAGATTCTTCTCTTTAATTTCCAACGTTCACCTATTCCTTTCTGCACATTCAAATGTTTTCTCAATTACTTTTCCTTCTATCGGTATCACTTTTCCAACACTGAGCAAATACAATTCTAGGAGCTGTTAATACATGTATGATTAAATATGTTTTTTTCTTTATTGCAACCTTCGGGTACCATTCCTAATTAAAAAATACTTCAGGTTTCAAATCTATACGTTATTTGATCATTTTTTTCCAACCGTATGTGTATTTTAGTCCAATATCTTTTAGCTTCTGTGCAAGGCCACCACATATGGTAGTATGTTCCTGGTGTTTGATGACACTTCCAGCATTTGGCTGATTTTATCTTTAAACGTTTTCGCTAGTTTTACTGGTGAACTGATTCATATTTATGACGGTTACAGTGTTTCCCAGGGTCACGATTCCCCTTTGGCGACCTTCTGATGAGGAAAAGTCAATGGAGGAAGCTGTCATGCCCCGGTTAGAATCTGACTCCAAGGGAGAGGAGGAACAGCCAACAGGAGAGTGGGAGTGTGGCTCTGGAAGTTGTGGAGGAAACTGGGGAAGGGCGCAGGCCAGCTGGCCATTCAGAGGAAGACCCAGGCCCACCCCCTCTTCATCCTAGGGCACGCAGGGAGGAACGGATAAGGGAGAAATGTGAATGGCGTGGTCTACGGGGGAGGAAAGGGCCCTGATCCCCTTCATGGGCTGCAGCTGGCATGGGCCAATGCTGGAAGCAAAGCGTGAAAAAAATTATAGTCTGTCAGTTCTTATCTGAGTTCTGGCATCCTTCCCAGTGTGTGTATTTCAATATCCGTGGACGTCTTCAAGCCCTTATCCTGCCTTGTCTCCTTAATTGCTTCAGTGTGGTTTGTGTTGTTGTTTTTTCTATTTATAATTTATATGTAAAGTTTGAACGGAATTTCTTCCTTTTCGCAACTGTTTGTGGGGGAGTTTTTTTTCTCCAATCAATGATAATTGGACCTTGGAGGCCCAAAGTTGAAGGAATTAAAGGGACTTTTACCTATTTGGGTGACTTTGTTGCTTTTGTATCCCACCCCGGGTTATCACAGAAGCCAGGTTTGCTTAACGACTGCACAATTCACTTAACGACCCCAGGGATTTGCTTAACAACAGTGGTGAAACTCACGTAACAAACTTAGCAATAGAAATCAGGAGGTTCTGAAAATCTGAAATTTGTGGTTCTTAAATTGAAATTCTACTCATGTTTTATTTTTTTTTTAAAAAGGACACCCTACATTACCTGGTTTATCAGGGGTTTGAATGAAATGCTGGGAGGTGAAGGTTTTCCCGTCGGGATACTTAGGATGGGGAGGCAGCCTGGAGTCAAGATACGTGCAGAATATGTGCATGAGGATCTGGAGGGAAAGAAGGGAAGGGAAGATTTAGCACCACGTCGGACATTTCAGAAACACACACGGTGAGTTCTAGTTCCACTTTAGGTGTGAAAGGCAGCTGGGCGACTTTGGGCCAATCGTCTGGAGACGGTGAATTCTAATTCTACCTTAGGTGTGAAAGTTGCTTGGTTGATTTGGGGCTAATTAGCAGGCGCGAGTGAGTTTTAGTTCCACTTTAGGTGGTGAAAGCCAGCCCGGTGGACTTTGGGCCAGCCACTGGGAGAAGGCGAGTTCTAGTTCCGCCTTAGGCATGAAAGCTGTTTGGGTGGACTCTGAGCCAATCACCAGGAGACGGTGAGTTCTAGTTCCGCC